GTTGGACAGTGGAACAGGCTGCCCAGGGAGGTGGTGGAGTCACCATCCCTGGAGGTGTTTAAGGGTCGTTTGGATGTGGTGTTGGTGGATCTGGTTTAGGGGTGAACTTTGTAGAGTAGGGATGATGGTTGGACTTGGTGATCCCAAGGGTCTTTTTGAGCCTGAATAGTTCTGTCATTCTGTGATGGTGCTGGGGATTAACTTCGACCTTTAAGATGTGAGGATCCATTCCTCTTTGGGCATGGAATTCGTATTCTTGATCTAATCCCTAATCTTTTTATCTGGATTTAGCCTGTGTTTGGTGCTGCCCTGCTTATGGATCTGGGACCCTCATATGCTCCTGCACTTGATGGCAGGGGGTGTGATGTACCCAGTTGCTTGAGCCTCACTAACTGCTGGATATTTGTATCCAAGATCTTGGCCTTCTCAGGTATGACAAGGCTCTGGTGGTCTAGGAAAGTGGAAAAGAGATTCAGTTGAAGGAGGACCTTGAGCTAAGGCTGGGAAGCAAAGAGCGGAGCCCAGGAGAGAATTTTAGAGATCCCAAACCAAAAAATAAGTACAGAGAGTGTATTGGGAGGGTGTCCCCTTCACTAGTCCTGGGACTGACACAGTTCATTACCCTCTGAATTCAGAGGGCAGGAGGCTTTTTCCCAGAGAAGGGAACCTCCCTTGACTCCTGCAGTCCCGGGGAGGCCACGCTTCACGTGCATCTCAGGGTTCTGATGAAGAAGCCACCTCAGCTGCTCCAGGCTGGCAGTGACCCAGGCACAGCAGCACTTTCTGGTCTGTGGCTTGAAGGACTCTCAAGAAGAAGAGAGAATGTGAGGGCAAAGAGAAAGAGATCCCCAGTGGGATTAAGATTCACTATCCCTGGTGCCCAACGCTGTGTGAGTGCGGGTTGTCCTGGGGGCTCTCTGTTCCACCAGTACCCTGGCTTGCTGAAGATTCACTTACTGGTTGCTGACAGAGGTGGGTAATCCAAAGGGAGAGCGTGCAGAGAATTGCACGGAGGCAGTACAAAGGTAGGTGTGCAGAAGCAATTATTATACTCCTCTTCCTTGGCCTTTAGACGAGCTGTGAGAAGCTCTGAAGTCTCAGTCAGACAACCCACCCCTGTTACCCCACCCCTGTGACTTCTGCACTTAGACCACCCTGACAGCTGGTTCATTCTTTTTCCCATTAGTTACAGTTTCAACTGAAACGGCTTCCTGTTAAAAGGGATGTGTCAGTTTGTATCATGTTCTCCATGTCAGTTTCCCGAGGTTGTTCCCATCCACCAGCTGTCCTGTTTCTTGATTAAATCATGGGTTGGGTGAGCAAAGGCACTACAACAACCTGAAGTTAAAGGTTACAGCAGCACAAGGGGTCTTGCTTAGCCACACAAGACTGTGCTCTGGTTTCAAATAAGTAATTATTAAAAAAACAAAAGAGCTGATGCTATAAGTTCTAGTTCACTGATAGATTTCAAGTAATGAGGAGAAAAAATAGACCCCAGAATATGGAATTATTTCTAGTAGGATGCTGTTTGGAAACTAATGCTCATTATTAACTTGATTAATGATCTGAAAGATGATATTAAACCAGTGGTGATGAAGCTTTCAGAGGACCCAAAGAACAATGAAGGTGATAAATGATGAGAAGAGATGAGAGATGCAGAGCAGCCAGTAACTATTGGTGTGGCGTTTATTTATAAACAGTCAGTGGGTTTGGCTGCAGAAAGACGTTCATCCAGGAACATAAATGTAGCCTGTGCTCTTTCAGGATGGAGGACTGTTTCTGGAGGTGTTGAAGGAATACCACAAAGAGTTAGGGGGTTGGGAGATAACCAAAGGAGTGGTGCTTGCATAGCTCCTGAGCTGGGAGGGTGGGCTGCACTCAGAAGCATTCGCCTCGGTTCTCCAACCAGGGAGGTCAAGTTTCTCCCTTATGTTGAAATAGTGAACACGTTGTGTGAAATCCAGCCACGTGACACTAAAAAGGGCTCAAGGAAGGAGCAACAAAGGACATGGAGATCCTGGAGAGACCAGAGCAGGGCCATAAAGATGATCAGAGGGCTGGAGCAGCTCTGCTATGAAGACAGGCTGAGAGAGTTGGGGCTGTTCAGCCTGGAGAAGAGAAGGCTCCAGGGAGACCTCACAGCAGCCTCCCAGTGCCTGAAGGGGCT